GCTAATGAAAGTAGTACTACACTCCGAGGGAATGACGCAAGTTCTGTTGGATAGCTGGTTAAAGTTTCGAGCTAGGTTGCCAACAGAGATCCGGCTAAAGGCAGCAGGCGAACGACCAAAAGTCGGAAGCAATTCAATGGAACTTGCAAAAGTAACAAATTATTTATTTGCACGGTCCCATGGAGAGACCGACACAACAGCGCCCACGGCCCACAACAGGACCGAGCACAGCATGAGTGAATCGTCTGTTCAGGAACGCTCAATAATGTCATGCACCAAGACTGAAATACATAAACCAAAAAACGATTAATGGCCGGCCACCTAACGGCTGGCTCAAAAACTAACACAAAATTGACATCTATCAACGAACTCCTAACAACAAAAATCCCTATCGTGCATGTACAGAAACGCTCAAAGCCTTCTAAGCAAGTTGGCCGAACTTAGAGAAATCCATTCCTCACAACCGCGGGACCTCGTCATGATTACAAAGACATGGTTAAACCCTGAGATAACCGATTCTGAGATCAAGTTACCCGGTATGTCGCTGCTTCGGACCGATAGAACCGGAAGGGATGGCGGTGTGATTCTTTATTACAATACAAACCTCCGATGTGAAGTTAACGATCGCCCAGAAATCCGAGCTCTTGATTTCGCTTTAGTGCCGCCTATGGTTGCGAAACAAGGACACATGTCTACTAGCAGTGATTTTTCGCCCACCAAACTCAACGTCGGAAATGGACTCCAAACTGAATCACGTTTTTCAGTTTGCTTTGAACAAGTCCTACACCCACATTCTTATCGCTGGAGACTTTAACACGCACGATAGAGGAACGCCGGCAACCGACGGTATGCAGTTTAAAGCCTGTTTGCAAGAGCTAATTGCTAGCCACCCTCTTTACAACCACATCATCTCTCCCACCAGATTTCGAAATGTTAACAAGCCGTCGATACTGGATCTTGTGCTAACTAGCGAAGAACTTGTGGTTGACGGGATAGTTACAAGCACAATACTGGGTCTTAGTGATCACGTTACTTTACTCTGACTATATATGATATGCGGAGTACCCTGAAAAGCAGGAGGATAAAGTGCATACTGTCACACACTACAGTGTGTTGTCCAACCTTGTTAAGGATACATCTTGGACTTTCTTAACCGAATGCCCCCCAGATGTTGCTTGGGAAACCTTTACAAGGACGTTTAGCACAATGGTAGCGCACGCATCAGAACAGAAGTCCGTCCAACCCAAAAACAAACAAAAGTCATTTCTGAGGAGTAGAACACGTAAATGTATGTCCCGAAGGGATTCGGCATGGAGAGATCATCAGACTCAGGCAGTCTGTGTGTATCTCTTCTCAACAACAGATAGTAACTAGACATAACTGAGGAAGGAGGAAAAAAGAGAGGGCGGAGGGGGGGGGGGGAGGGAGATACAACCAACACGTACTGTAGTACGTCCTCTATGATCGCTTCACGATATTGCTACGGCCGAATCCCTTCGTGGACATACCACATTTAAACGTGTCTCTAGACTCCTCAGAAATGACTTTTGATTTTGTTTTTTTGGGGTTTGGACGGACTTTACTGTTCCGATGCGTGCGCTACACCGGGGGTGCTTACAACGTTCCTTATGTAAAGGGTTTCCGTTACAAGGCAACTCAGCTGGCGGGGGCATATTGCGGTTATGAAAAAGTCCAGGAATGTATCCTTAACACAGACTTGGACAACACATTGTAGTGCGTGACAGTATGCACTTTATCCTCCTGCTCTCTTTCAGTGTATTCCGCCCCGCATATCATCATATAGTCAAAGAGTCGAGTACACGTGCTCACTACGAACCCAGTGGTAAGGTGCTTGATGAACTCATCCCCGTCAAACCACGAGTCTTCCGCGCTTAGTCAGCAGCAAGTAATCCTAGGTGTCGACGGCTTTGTTAGCAGTTGCGAAATCTGGTGGGAGAGAGTTGACGGTGGTTGTAATGAGAGGGTGGCCTTAAGCCAATTAAAGCGCTTGCAAGCAGGGCTTTAAACTTGCATAACCGTCGGTTGGCCCCGGCGTTCCCTTGGTCGTGGCGTGTTAAAGTGCTCCCGCGATCGAGCACAATGTGTGGGTGTGGGACTTGTATCAAATACACAACTGAAAAGAGCGTGGCTTCAGTTTGGGGAGTCCAATTCCCTGACGTGTTTGAGTTGGTGGGCGAATAAATTCACTTGGCTAGCATAGACATGTGTTCCCTTGGAGTTTCTCGCTACAGCCATAGGCCGGGCACCTAACGACGAAAATATCGGAAGAGCTCGGCATTTCCTGGGCGACTCGTTCACTTCACATCGAAGGATTGTATTATAGTAAAGAGTCACACCGCCACTCTTTCCGGTTCAATCAGTCCGAAACAGCGACATACCGGATAAATTGGTCTCAGAATCGGTTATCTCAGGGTTTAACCGTGTCTCTGTAATAATGACGAGGTCCCGCGGTTGTGAGGCATGAAATTCTCTAAGTTCGGCCAACTTGCTTAGAAGACCTTGGGCGTTTGTGTACATGCAAGGTAGGACTTTGGTTGCCAGGAGTGCGTTGACGGATGTCAACTTTGTGTTAGTTGTTAAGCCGGCCGTTAAGTGGCCGGACATTAATCGTTCTTTGGTTTATGTATTTCAATCATGTTGCATGTCATTATTGAGCGTTCCTGAACAGACGTTTCACTCGTGCCGTGCTCTGTCCTATTGTGTGCCGTGAGCGCTGTTGTGTCGGTCTCTCCGCAGGACTGTTCAAATAAAGAATTTGTAACTTGTGTAAGTTCAGTCGAATTGCTTCCAACCTTTGGCCGTTCGCCTGCTGCCTTTAGCCGTATCTCTGTTGGCAACCTAGCTCGAAAATTTAACCAGCTATCCAACAGAACTTGCGTCATTCCCTCGGAGTGTAGTATTACTTTCATTAGCCTTGGACCGCAGCCCTTGTAGTTAGGTGATGACGGAACTCTTGTCAGGGATTTGGCAATCACATTATCAACAGAGAGTGCTTCGCGGATGTAGCACCATTGCTCTCCGTCATGTGTTTGCGCATCGTGATCAGAAGAATGCAGAAGCTCGGGAACACCATGAACAAATATTGTTTTTCTGCTTTCCCTATTAGGAATGCCGCGTTGCTCAACTGCTTCTTTTGGGCCATCTTTCCAAAGTAGATCAGGTAATATGCACATTCCGCTAGGTGAGTTTCGAAGAGGAACTGCCGAGAGCAGGACAGTCTCTGTTTCATCAGATGAGTCTAGTGTTACTCGAAGAATTCGAGGTTCACCAGACTGCACTGAGGTCGGGTGACGTGCTAGGCGTTGCGGCATTGCAGGCTCAACCCGAATACCAATCACCTCGCAGATTAAACTACACTGGTTACGATCGTCTTGCAACTTGCCTTTCATTGTGCCAGATTTGGATTCGGGAACATTGGTACACCCGAGAGTTAACGCAGCATGGTTTTGTCTCGCGAGTGTTGGCTGTATACTTTTTGCTGGCAATTCTGGTTGCTTAGAAGGCACCACTGGAGTTGACGGTGAAAGCTGCTTTGCGCCGCGCGTGCTCAGTACTGAAGATGGACCTATGTGTGTCGCTCCCGGTGTGTTTGTCGAGGCAATCGATGCGTACGTTACCTGCTTGTTATCTGTACTGGATTGCTTCGACTCTAAGCTATCGGTGTCATGGCTGGATCTCCAAGTGAAGCGTCTATGGTTGCAGAAGTGGAAGCAGGCATGCTTGAGGCTTGTCCACTTATGGGAGTGAGGTGACCCAGTGGATTTAGAGTCACAGACGCTGCAGTGCGGTTGCAGCGTCTAGCTCTCTTCTTCAGATTAGATTCGGAGCTTACTTTGACTGGGTGAGGTATTATCGTGGCCATATTTACCTCCGTGGGATCGATCTTAGTGTTTACATAATGCCTGATTATCTCAGTCATTCTATCGCACTTTTTCAAGGGCAAAGATAAACAGTTGACAATTGGAAGGACTTGACATGTTGGGCAAAACCAAATTGTGTCAGCAACTTGGTTTGTCTGTCTCACTTCTTGGACGGATTTGCCTACACATTGCAGACAGTACGATCTAATGCAGCTAGAACCGGTAACACTGATCTTAAGGACTTTACTGTAATTGTCTGCGCAACGTAGGTGATGTTGAACCACTGGAATTCCAGTCGTCCTCTTATTGTTTACACCAAGGCCTATCTAAGCGCTCACCTTGATGACTGTTCTTTGCGCTAGGCGTGACGCACGAATAGGTCAGAACACGCACACGAATTGAGAGCTGTTCAACCGCACCAAGGTCAGGCGGTAGAGGCAGATGGAGGTCGTAACGCGCAGACTGTCTGGTTCAGCAATCACTCGACTCGCAGTTGAACACCCACACCCACACAAAGTGGCACCGTGTGTTAATCGGCCTGCCTTAAGTGAATGCAAGTGGAGCGCTGATAAGCGTCCCTAGAGCTGTTCAGTTGATGAGCGGAGCAAAAAAGCTGTACCTTTGTTAGGCTGCAACTTTCAGGGATAGTTGCCGCGTAGATTGGGAGCCCTCAGCTTCTTCTTCCGAATGAGACCAAAATCTTTTCCGAAAAACCAGTTTGATGTAGTTACACAGGTGGAATTCGGGAAAGAATATGCCGAAAACTGGGAACTGGAGCAAGAGTATAATCCACACAGGTTAGATCCAAGCGGTGGGAAGCACTGAGTAGAGCTTGTCGAACTGTTTCGAACGAGCGCACGCGCAATGTTGTGTGGAGAGAATTAGAGTTGCCAAAGAGGGCAAAGCAAGAGCCGAGTCAAAGTGCGGCGGGCACGGGAACTTGTCAACTTGTGTCATAGTGCCCGCCCTGTGTGGATGCCGGTGTGGATGCTTCTCTAACCCGCAAGGTGACATTCGCCGGGTCTGTAGTTCGTCGCATGCAAGCTTTCCTTACGTCCTTAGGGTTTTCTGAAGACTGTTGGAGCATCGACTGTTTAAGAGTAAGTCTGCACACAGCATATGACCTGTTTTATCGTCACCGGTGGCATCGACGCGAAGAAGATGATTGAACCTTCCGATCGCAGAATACCAACTCAGCGTATTTCCACACCATTATGCCACTACTTACTGCCTCATATCGTAAATCCAACAAACCGCCTTTCACCACCATCCCAAGCGGACATGAGAGCGATTTTCGCCACCACCTCTGGGTTAGAACTTAGTTGGGAGGGGGGGGGGGGGGGGGGGGACTATGCTGGTCTCATTTCTCGAATCAAACTACTTATCATGTTTCTCTAAATACAGTTCTGCCATCGCTTGTACAATCCATTCCTTTGATTCAGCGGCTCAAAGTTCGCACGAGTTCTCCATACTAGAGAATAATTACAGTGGTGTAACTATTATATCTGGTACAACACGGTGTACACCGCGCGCTATTGACGGTCTACTAACGACTCCTTGCCAGTAAGTCCCAACTGCCCAATGCCACTGCACAGCACAGATAGCGCTCCCGTCCCTTCTGCCGTGACCTTGCTGAGACACAGCGAATTTCAAAGTGACCCCCGAGGTCTAGCGGCCGCAAATATCGTCTTAAGGACGTAGGGCACGCCCCTGTTAACTATTCCAAGCTTCTCCTCCTCTTCCTACGTCCTATCCGCTCCTCCATTCTTCCTGCACCTCTGCTCCTCAACTGCAGGCGATTCTCCTCATTGCTATAACTGCTTGTTTCTCGAGCCAAGCTGCGCTACGCATCCGGTTCTCTGGCGTTCAGGCCTTCCACATATCCCGGAGCCGATTGGTCAACATCACTTGAGGGAGGTAGACCATCCAGAAATACTGCTCAACCCACTATCCAACATGAGTGTTCTTGATGCGAGTCTGTGTCAAATTAGGCAGAGTTCGAGGGGTCCAACAAGAGTCACTGGGGTGGTAGGTGTACAGGCTCAAGGACGAACGAGAGGTCTGATCTTGCATTTAATAAAACCTGGTCCTCGCTTTGACACTGATCGACATTGCCATCGTGGCGCCAGGCTGACCTGTGGAGGACACCCCATCAATCCATGGCTTATCCCCTCCCGGCGGCCCCACTCCAACTTCAGTGGGAGCCTTCTTCACGCCTCCACTCCAGCTCACCAAGTCTTCGGTCTGTCTTTTGAGGAGATCTCCGCAAACGCTGCAAGCTTCGCTTGCTCATGCTATCACTCCGACTATATATCCGCGAACAACGTCGGAAGTCATAACCCAGAAACGTAGCCCGCACCGAATCCACCTTACCATTAAATAGATCCATATGAAGCGAACTCTTCAGGATCCACCCCTGTCGGAAACTGGCTGTGTCACCTCCACCAAAATGCTGTAGGCAATACGACGTTCTGCTCGTGCCCTCATCACTTAGCAACCACGTATGCCGGTGGAGGTCGATCGAGTTCTCCACTTACGCAGTCCTTTTGACGTCCGGGTTGCTTGGTGCACCAACGCCTCCTTCGCGTGCATGCGGCAATCCACGATTTGTGCCAACTATTCTTGCGCATTCCTCATTTCCCCTTCACGACGCAACCCACTGTACTGGCGCTTATACTCAGATGCTAATCTTTAATCCTATCGTAACAATCCCATTTCTAAAATTCTTTTGGAGAGGGCTGATGTGATAACCCCGCATGTAGAGGAATGCCACTGCTGTATGTGTGGGTAACTTGGCGCTTTCTCAAGAAACATGGACTAAACGGAACACGGATCTCCCCCGCCCCTAACAACTCCCCAGACATTGTTCTCCACCCATTCCCACACACACCACACAAACCTTAACCACCATAACCCATACACCACAGCATACACTTCGGGGTAGACTTGATGCGAATATTTATAGCCGTTCAGCGACGATGTAGATCATATCCTGGGTACCCCCCACTTCTTTCAACTGAGTCGCGGGCATCTACCAATGGCTCACATCGGCCATGCGTGGTACACAAGTCATCTTCATTATCCGGTGGCTTTTCTCTGTTTAGTATCGGATCGTAGTTTATATTCCTGCGTAAAAAATTACCTTGGATTAACTCGAATCATAAGAGGTAGGCCATGTATCTTATAACATCTTAAAAATGGGCAGAGTAAGCGTTTGTGTGCAGTTGAAATCCACTCTTGACAGTCTAATATATGTTGTAGGTAACTTGCTGATAGCTCCAGTACTGTATCTTTTGAGCCTGACGATAAGTATCCCTGCTGTGTTCATCAGCAGAAACTCGTGGACATCTCATGGACTCGTAATAAAGCGGCAGTTTTGAAAATGCTGCCTGCACATCAGCATACGACCTATCACACCCATTTTAGTGCATTGGGAAGCTACAATCTCAACCATCCTTTGCTTCGTGGTGGTAGAGATATCCTTGATCGCTGAGACAAGTCCCATTGACCTTTCAGAATAGGATACAATGGGGTATCCATAGTGGTTAACTAAAGCTAAATGCTTAACAGGTCCCGTAGGATGGTTATGGTGAAACTACAAAATATAAAAATTGTTAGCAAAATTGGGTTTACACCAGTGAACTCACTGAAGTATACGTAGTGTAGACTGTAAATCCAAGGTAAATCCATAAGAAATGACGGCAAATGGGATGTTGGTAAAAATCGTGTCTCCTTCTGGTGTACACATAGAGGAGGTGAAAACGTGGAACGAAATCTGTGCTGTGACCGCCAGTGAAATCGCTTACAGACACTTGTGTTTATCCATGGGTAATGGGTCATGTAAGATGGTGCAGCGAAATAAGTGCACGGTCAACTCGGGCTTTGAACTCTGCCAGCGTGGGAGCACATATGACAGATTCCGGTAGGGCATTCCACGTACGGTAAATGCGTACGGAAACGAAATTCCGACGGCATTCCAAACGACTGTGTTTCTGTGTCAGCTTGAGATGGTGACCTCTCATATTGCTGTTATGACTGAGCTTTAGTAAGAAGTGGTGCGTGTGGTTGGGATCTCTCAAAATTTGATACGTCAAAATGAGGTCCTCGCGCAATCGCCGATACCGTCCGCTGAAGACCCCGAGCAGTTGTAGCATTCGTTCATACGGCAAATGATACAGGCCCTTGACATTCTTGCTTGCCCGGCGTTGGGTTATCTCCAAGGCAGTGGGATCTCTCCTCAGCCGTGTGTGTCCGACCTGTATTGCCTTTTCCACATGTGGCCGTACGTATGAGCTGAGAAGTTGTGGAAAAATCGAAGGGTCGAGTCGTCCAAATGCACGCTTCCAAAGGCCCACATGTTGGATGCCCCTCTTAGACGCCGTTTCAACCTGCTTCGAACATCCTAAATCGACCTGGACAAAATCTCCCAGATCCTTCGCGCCAGAAGACTTTTGACGCTCCTAGTTGCCGAGTTGTTAGGAGTGCACCAACTTGTGCCGTAGGTGCAGCACTCTACATTAGTTCGCATTGAATTTAAGTAGATTCTGGGTTGATCGCGCGTATACCTTATCTAAATCAGCTTGAAGTACTGTGATATCGTCTGGTGTTTTGATCGCCCTCCACACCTTGATGTCATCGGCATAAAGAAGGCAGTTCGAGCTTATGATGTGTGTGATATCGTTAATATACGTCAAAAATAATCGCGGTCCTAATACCAATCCCTGTGATACTCCGCATTCAACTCGGATTGGAACTGACAGCGATTAACGCAAACGTACTTCCAGGCGCCGGTGTAGAAGAAAGCTCCTGATCCATCCTAGGAGAGGATCACCAGTAGCAAAGGTCTGGAGTTTGAAGAGCAGAATGTTATGGTCTAACCGGTCGAACGCCTTTGAGAAGTCAAGGAAGACTACATCAACTCCTGTGCCAGAGTCTACTACTTCAGTCCAGCTGGATAGTGCTAGTAGTAGATTTGTAATGCACGATCGATTTCGTCGGAAGCCATTCTGTTCCGTCGCAAGGTAGTTAGATTCTTTTAAGCAGGCGGTTAGCGCATCAGAAATAATGGCTTCCATTCACCTTTGAAAGAACCGGTGGTAAGATTCTGGAATGATAGTTGGCTGGATTAGAACGACTGCGTCCCTTGTGAATAGGAGTAATCATCCCGTGTTTCCACATGTCTGGCACGTACGTTTCTTCAAAACAGTGTTGGTAGAATCGAACCAAAGGCTCAGCTAAACTCTCTCCTACTGCCGCTAGCGATTTCATGTGCAAATTATCACCTCCGGGGGAGCTATGCTTGCGCATACAGCTTTTTAGTACACTTTCTGCTGTGAGGGATATGTGAGTGAGTTTTGGGGTAAATAGCCATCTTCATAGTGTTAAGTGGCCAGTGATCACACTGAAATGTTGCAGCATATTGTAGGCGCAAGGTATTCGCCACCTCCTTCGGTGTCCGTGTGGGTCCGTCCGTTGTTTGAAGAGGAGGAATTCCCCGTTTCACCTCTAGCAGACCGTTGACGTGTTGATACAGAAGCTTGTGATTTGAGGCCATACGCACTGCCAACTTCTGCTGGTACGCCATTCTGTCCTCGCGAACAAGCTGAGTACAGTGGTTACCTTGGGTGGTATAGGCCATCCAGTTCTCGGTGCTTGGGGAGAGTTTGTAGATATGCCAGGCTGAGTTTCGCACCGCTATACACTTGCGTGTCCTGCTTCGCAGAAACGAGACCACGTTTCTCGGCGGAAGGTCTTAGTCGCTGACGCTTCGGCAATCAGAGAGTTAAACTGGCTGACGAAATGTTCCCATGCACTAGCTGGTGCCTCGTCTGCCAGAAATATCCAGTTGGCTGTCTCACCTAGTCGAGCTAATATATCGTAGCGTACATACATTCTCGTTGCGTCGGCAATTTTCACGGGATATTCTGCATAGCAAATGTATTCGAAGAGTAGTACTACATGATCGCTGCTGCCCAATGGGACGTCGACAATCACCCTCTCGACCATTAGTTCTTCATTGGTGAATATCCGATCCAGTATCGAAGGCTTATCTTTTTCTCGGAATCGGGTGGGAGTGTTGATGTGGCCATACAGCGGGTAACTGGAGACGAACTCTTGTAGATCGGCCTTAAACTGTTCTCCGGGAGCTGCTTGGGATTCCAGAGCGTGGATGTTGAAATCGCCAGTAATGAGAATGTGACTGTAAGTTGTGTTTATCACCCTCCTTATTGCGGATGCCAGATAGGAGTCCATCTCTGGCGTGGAGGAAGGAGGACGGTAAATGACCGCCACTAAGCAACTGCCGTCGTCTTTTAAACGTAGACGGCACCAAAGGGAACCTTGTGCCTTGCTGACCGGATCCTCTATGAGCTCACGTTGGAGATCGTTGCGGAAGTACACAGCTACCCCTCCACCTTTGCTGGGTCATTCATGTCGAACAATGGACATGCCTGGCAGAACGATCACCATGTCACTTATGTCAGGGCGTGACCGTGTCTGTTATGTCAGTGAGGTCGCAGGCTTTGATTCTTGACGCAGACGCATTTCGGAAAGCTTACTGTATAAGCTTTGAGCGTTGGTGTACATACAGTAAAGCTTCTCGGATCTCAAAAGTTGTTGACTAGGGGCACATGAATTATGTGGATTTGTGCCGACCGATCAGAGGCGGACACCTAATGGTTCTTTAGCTGAATTGCCAAATCTCAATAGGAATGCGATCTGTTTTTGCTCTCACTTGCCCCTGCGTTATGTAGTCCATCAGCAGCCTTCTCGATAGCTATGGGTCTTAGCGAACATGGTTCTGACTTGCTGTTGTTTTTAAACTGAATCACGGATGGTGTCGTTTACGCAGGTAAAGTGAATAGCTGTGGCTCAAAAAAACTGGTGTCTTCATAGTAGATTTTGAAGGAAGTGTGTTGCATATAAACTTTCAGCTACGGATTACATACACGAATATCTGTCGTGACTGCACCCTTATTTTCAATACTCTTGAGCAACTGCTTCTGTGGTTTGGCCGCATGGGTAACCATGTATATGACTGAAGTATGTCGCCTGCACAGAGAGCTTCACGGATGTAACGCCATTCTTCCAGGTCATGAGCATGGGCTTCCTCGTTGCTGATTGTCGGCAGCTCGGGCACGCCATGAACAAAAAAATGATTCTTTTGCTACTCTCTGTGTGGTAGTGGTTTGAATTATTTCTGTTTCACAGACATTCGCTACATGGAACATCCGGAAATATGCACATTCTGGTGTTTTCAGTTCACAGGCGGTGTGCCGAGAAAAGCACCGTCTCGACATCATCTATTGATCCCAATGTTACTCGCATTAGCCGGGACTCCCATAAGGATTCGATGTTGGATGTCTAGTGATGCGCATTATATTAGTCAATTGGCTTGAACTCCGATCTCATCACGAACGAAATTACATTGCTTTAAATCATCTAGCAGCCTACCCCTTAAGGAGTTTGCGTTGGTCTCAGGAACGTTAGTGCATATAAGTATCAAGGCCCCGTAGTTCCGCCTAGTCTACGGTGGTGCGGAAAACACGGTTATCAAGGAATTTAGTGAGGTCTGTGCAGGTTGCACCTGATCCTTGACTCGTTTTGCAGCTGTACTGAGTGAAGCTACTGAGTTAGCACTTCTATTATCCCGATCAGCAATGGTCGCATAGATGGATCAGCCTTTAGATCGCTTCCGATTTCGTTGGTCCATCGGAAGTGTGGGTGTTATCGATGTTGCATCAGTCGATACATTGGCTAAGGGGATATGAGCGATGGGGCTAAGAATGCCTCCTTTGGTCGCGATGACGACTTGGTTCGTGGTCCTCAAGGTTTCTAGTACTGCGGGGCCGTTTTAACGCCTGGCCCTTTTCCTTGGTTTTAAGGCAGCAGTTGGGGGAGACAGATGAGGTGCAAGATGCGCTATTGTCGCTTCGAGCGAAACAACTTTTGCATTCAAACGATGTTTAGTTTCGACGACTAGGCTGTCGTACTTTTGTGTTAACGCTAATACGCATTTTACTAGTGGAATCGTCGTGCACTTCGGACAGAACCAAAGTGAACCCGGCGTATTGTATTTCCTTATGTCGGTTCTACAGACGGTGACGCATTTCGAATAGTACCGATCTTGACACTTTGTACAAGTCAACCCTCCTTTTAATACCTCGGCACAACGTTGATTAGTACAAAATACTTCCTTTCGAGCTGCCGGTGTGGTGGTCATGGTGACCGATTACTGTAGAACAAATCCAAGATGGCGGACACAGACTGCAGTTGGACTAATCAATGAGAACTCCGAAAGTAGCCAGAGAACATCGTACTCAGCGGACTGGTTAGTTCGGAAGTTGAATTATGAGGAGCCGTCTTGTTGAGCTAACCTGTCCATGGTGCAATGGAGTGTAGCTTTCTCGAGCGTGCAACGCCCGATATCTATCTGCTCTATCAGTTGTGGCCCCAGTGTTGACCAAGTTGCACTTCACTGAGAATCGTGATCCACAGTGAGATTGCGCATCGCAATCCATTCACCCAACTTTTACTTCAAAATGACCCTCCACCATGTCCATAATATTGTTTAACAAAGTTTCCCAACTGCAAACTGAATATTCTGATGACTAGACTCGGTTTCTGACGTGGCCGTTAGAATGCGGATTGGTCCACCACATACTAAACAGGAACGCAGTGACATGTGGCTCAGAAACATTTAGTCTATTTCCATTGTCCTTCTTAATAACTATACAACTGTGGAGTGGCGCCGTGCGACTAACTTCTCTGCTGGCATAGGTGTTGCAAGGAGGAGAAAGTTGCAAACATCTCGCCTCTTGCCTCGAAAAACAGCTGCTACTCAATTCACCTAGTTCTTCTATTGTAATCCCTTGTTCTATTTGACCCGAAGCCTTGCCGCTGACTAGTGGCCCCATTGGGACATCAGTGGGTCGGACATCCAGGCTTTATAATATGCCCATCAGCTCATCTTGGCAGTCAATAATTTCTTTTGATTTTACTTGGATCTACTTGTACTGTGTTATTTGAACTACTGGAAAATTGGTTGGCTGGACTTTCAAATCCGGTCAAGTTTCTCTTCCACAACAACTTCCCTTCTGTTTTGTCATTGGCTTCAGTGGTTCCACTGAAGTGCTCGTATGTTAGACACCTCAATACTCTGGTTCGGTTTTACATGGTTTTATTATTCGCCACTGAAGGAACCGACATATTATTAGACTTGTTTGGATTATTAATCAGGCTCAGTGCAACATGACTGGAACATTTCATTGACCCCGTGGTTCAGTGGTCAGTGTTCTGTATACTTTTTGTCACTATGTAACCCACACTTCCTGATTAACCTGTATCCGGCTTATCAGTTACAAATTCCGCATCCAACATGTAATTTACTTTCTGAAATACTTCCCCGTTTTTCATTTTGCGATAATCTGTACCATAGCTCCCTACAAACTAGACCCATTTTGATTTAGCTACATAAACCCTATAAGTCTGCTTCATCATTCGAAGTCATTTCGATTTTTAAGTGTACGCTTATTTACAATCTGTTATGAAATGCTCGATTTACAACCCACCTATATTCGTTAAGAGTTTCTTTTTAAGGCGTTCGGGACCGTAATTCGTTCGGTATTATGATGAGGTAATTGTCACCAATGAACGGTACATTTTCGGAGGAAATATCCATTTGATGTTGTGGATCAACACGAACTAAAATTTTTAGCAAGTGGCGCACAACAAATTTACAATAGAGAAAAGTAGTAGGGAGAGTCGAATGTCATAGGCAGAAATTCGGCACTTCTAGACTCACTCAGGCAGCCATTACACGCTCGGAAAAGCACTGTACGACCGTTTTATCCTTTCAGGACTCGTTAGCAGCCCGCATTCGATCTGACCCTTGTAGGACTTGGACCCGGAACTCGACTGTTGCCAGTTCGTGGTTAGGACCACTGAACTGCGGGGGGTGGGGGAACGACAGTCATGAATAAGTTACTAGATGTGATAGAGCGCTGCTCACTATCCACTGACTTGTTGGAACGCAGGTATGGGTACGCCATGCAAACCAACTGCGACCAACAATGTGTCAGCCACAAGCAACAGAATCCGCCAAGCTTCCATTTGACCTATTGACAGACAGCTTCAACTTGCCTACAGAGCCAGTAGAAGAACCCTGTCATCAGACGAATAGCACCAGACCGCAGAGTACGGCATTCGAATCCAGAACACTACAGCCAAGGCGATGCACCGGTAGGCGAAGAATCCTTTCCAGGAGGCTCCAGGTTAATCCCCGGCTAGCATCCTACACAACGGCAGCAGCTTCAGGAGGGGAGGTATCCGGGAATCAGATAAAAACATTAAAAGGGAAAATATATAATGATGATTGAAAGCTGGGCTGAAGGGAATCGCCTACCCGTGCGGTCAATCAGGCAATCGATCGAGCGGGCGAATGCGTTTTCAAACACCCGGCGAATTGGACTTTTGCCTCAGAGTTTGAGAGGACAGTGTTTTCGGCGGCATTTATCTGGCTACGTTGGCAGAGTTTTGTTAACACGTTTTTCGTGGTCAAGGCTGTTGGAATTTTGATTTTTCTTCGGCTGGGCTAGAATCGCTGCGGAGAAATTTCTGGGTGGTTAATTCGGAATAGCGAAAAAGGGAAGATCTAAGAGATTTTGCAAGTGCATTTTTTCAAATCGCGTTTAACCTTTATATAAGCCGACCCCCTTCTACAGAAGCAAAAGTTGGTCCACAAATCATCGGCTTATATTCGGTATTTTTCTTCACTTAAAACTTGTTCCCACTGGAATACACTACCAACGCATATGGTAAACACACCAAACATCTCGACATTCGTAGGAATATCAGTTTTTCATATTTGTTTTAAGTGCTACACTAAACGCTACGCTTAACTAATGTTGAATCACGTTCCACGTTGGAATATTTCATTTTTTGCATTTTCATCCTGTGGGTCTTACAATGTTATACTTTTTATCCCATCATTCACTATTGAACACCTCAAATGATTGTTTCACTATGGGGCCTGCGTTTGGGACTAGCAATAACCCCCATCTAACATTATTTTCGTGACTCTGTCGTACTGAGTCACTTACCCATGGCGTATATTCTTATGTGTAACTGAGCCAATCCCCAGACAACCTTTGTTCTCCCTGATCGATGCGGTGTAGTATACTTCAACCGTTTAGGCTCCATCCATTGTGTTAGAGTCCTGTGGGCTATGGGACCGGTGTGTTTGGTCCAAGTTCTCTATTTGCTTGAACCTTTCTCTCTCCTACCTTTCTCAGTCATCGAATTATGGCTGAACGGGGCGTACCGTTGATAGACCACCATATGTTTGAAGATCACATGATGCTCCGCCGAGCTGCCGTGGAATGCGTCGCAAACATGGCCCAGTATCATGCGTTTGTTGTTTGTTGCGGAGGCACACTTCCTCTGGACGACGGCGATCTCGGTGCAAAGTTGCCATTTCTGCGCTCGGCGACTGAACGCGTCAAGCTTCTGGTGCTATATTGTTGTGAGTTTGAAGACTTACTGCTAGTCCGTGCTGCTGTTGGAGCGCTGGCCACCATGTCATACGATCCAGGCATTATTACTCTGATCACCAAGGTAGTTTATTTTCACTCATTATTAATGTGCTTTTCCCTCGATTACCGTTGATTTAACATTTCTCTCTTTTCTTGCTATATATTTTTCATTTTAGCTCTATGCATAATTCAGATGTCGACTTCACTTCGAATCGCCTGGATCCAGCTAGCTCGTTTTTTCGCTATCCATATTACGAGAGTTTCCCACTATGCCCCTAAACCCCCTTCATAATTTTATTCCTCATCATTGCTGCACGGTCGACATAGACTTGCTGATCCCCGAAGCAACCTTCACTAAGTTTTTAGGCGTTTACGGAGTAGCCATATTAATTTTAGCAAAAATCCTTGCGAATTAGAAAGTCTTCGGATATCCGTCGCATCTATGGTACCCTGGTTGCGCGTTTTTCCGTGGCTCTCTCTACCAAAGTACGTGCTGCTAACTTTACCGCTACCATCGTCATCGTTGCTTTTTTGAAATTATACATTTGGTAGTAATTCATCACATCTGGACTCAGTTAGACAGTCATCACGCGCTCGGAAAATCACTATCACTGTTTTGTCCTTTCGGGAATCGTCGGCATTGTGCATTCCACCTGATGCCTGTGAATCTTGAACCTGCAAGTCGGCCTTTGCCGTTCGGCGATTAGGGGCACCGAGCTACAGAAGACATCAAAGACCGTCTCCACTAAGTTACTAAATGTGATATAGTGCCGCTCACTCACTCTCCACTGATTTGCACGTCACTGCCGTGCAGAGGAAAGCGTAGCCCCCTCACCATCGACAGACCTACTGTACTTAGGCCGCCAACCAGTTTATAGCATTTGTAGTGTTTCCGCTAATAGTACGGTTAACCGATACAGCCACTACTCAAATCAGAAGAGGAAGACCTTTGGCGGAACTTGTATGGTGCACCCGGAAGACAGAATGTACAGCCGAAATATTGGGTCAAAATAAATAGTTCATGTGAGAAAGGGACTAATTGAAAGTTTCTGACTATAGCAAATGCTAGATGCGCAACAACTCGCTTGTTGGCTGATCAAGTAGTGTGCTTACTGGAGGGCTTCAAGGTAGGTCATTCTGATTGGTTCACTTCAAGGTAAAACGATGTCATTGGCTTACTCCCATTGGCTTGCAACTCAGTTACAGGCGGCATACAACCAATCTTCTCCGGGATGCTTCAGACACAGAGAGAGAACTGGCTTAGATCTGATATGAGTTTCTCTGTGCCCACATCTACGACATTACTGACATATGTGGTTGTTGCTGAATACCATCTAACAAAAAGCCGGCCTCCGCATTGCCAACATGTTGATAGTGGCTTACCTTGAGAGGCCTTCTTACGATCAGTGGCTGGAAACTTGGTCTACAAAATCTGTTGAACTGCGAAATCATTGGAATGTGCTTTCGTATTATCTACCATAGCTGTAATGTGTTTTAAATTGATGATTCTCTGCGCCTTTGCAATGGCAGCTTGCAGTGTGACATCCGGGTCTCGCTCCAACAACTGGTGTATTCTGGTTTGGATCTCGGCATCCTTAGGAGATTGCAGACTGCATGTCAGTATCAGACACTCAAATTGGTCTTCAGTAAGTGATTTCAGCTTGAATTTCTGGCACTTTCGCTTCACTGTTGCTGCATGGACAATGAGACTGTCGGTGTCCCTCATGCACAGCTTCAGGCAACTGTACCGTTTGTTGAAAAGCGATGCCTGATCGCCGAACATCTCCGTAAATCAGGAAATTGTTTCATCGAAGTCGAAATCTTGAGCACTTTTTAGCAAAATGTAATTGATGTATCTGTCGTGCTCCACAGTTACGCGTTTACGTAGCACCTGCCGTACTTTTGACACTATCAAGATTTGCCAGCTCCATCTTTAAAATATCTTCGTAACGTCTGGACCATGCATCGAAAATCAGTTCTGAAGCGGGATCAAAAACAAACTCGCTGACACTCTTGATTATTGCATCAACTGAATACTTCTCAGCATTGTGGACCGCTGTAGACTGGAGCGATAGTGTTCCGGTGAAAGTCTCGATCATACGCAGCTGTGACGCCTCCAATGGTTGCTACTGTTGAAGCAAAATAGCTTTCACATCTGCCTTGAATAACTGCTCCTGTCGTTAAAAACTGTAGCGTTTCCGCTGCTAGTACGGATAACCGATGCAGCCACTCTGGTCACGATACAGTCACTACTCAAATCAGAAGAGAAAGACCTTCGGCGGAACTTGTATGGTGCACCCGGAAGACAGAATGTACAGCCGAAATATTGGGTCAAAATAAATAGTTCATGTGAGAAAGGACCTAGTTGAAAGTTTCTGACTATAGCAAATGCTAGATGCGCAACAGCTCGCTTCTTGGCTGATCAAGTAGTATGCTTACTGGAGGGCTTCAAGGTAGTCATTCTGATTGGTCCACTTCAAGATGAAACGATGCGATTGGCTTGCCAATCGGCTATAGGCGGCATACAACCAATCTTCTCCGGGCTGCTTCAGACACCCACAATGAGAAAGAGAGCTGGCTTCAAATGCTGTTATGGACGGGCTCCGGTGGCAGCATAATACATAGTTTTGTCTACCTACTGATTACAAATGAGTTAAATGGTATGAATAGAATTTTATCACAATCAGTGGATAGTGAGCGGCGATATATCACATCTGTAACCTGTTTACTGTGGTTGTTGCCGTCCCCCGTAGCTCAGTGTTTTCAATCACTGACTGGTAATAGTCGAGTTACAGGTTGGAGCCCTACAAGGGTCAAGTGGAATGACCACTGCTGATGACCCCCGAAAGGATGAAATGGAGCTACAGTGCTTTTTTGGTGTTTGCTAGCTGTCTGTTTGAGTCTAGACTTGATGAATTTCGACCTGCACTGTTCAGCTCACCCTACTCCTTTTTAATCGTTCATTTGTTACCAACGCCCTGTATAGCCGTTGCGTTTACATCATTACATAGAGGAATCCGCCATGTACACCCCCTTATCATCTAGATGTGTGTCTACTCGCCGGTGCTTTCTTAACGAGTTACCGATGCTTGTGTCGTGCTCTCAAAATTTTTTACCCTAGCACTGTAGTGTTGCTCGTCGCGGTTCTTTTTCCATATCCCTACACTTCTTTGCCCCCACTTCCTGTTTCCTCTGTTTACTCCTGTTTTATTCAGTTATCACTTACCTAAACGGTATCTCGTACAACCGGTGTATTTTCTCCTGTCCCCTCCCATACAATGTTCGGCAGAATGTGCACTATCAGATAGAGACTACTACTGCGAAACAGTATAGAATGCCATGACCGATGATCACAGTTTCATAAGTCACTTCCGCCTCATCCACCTGATGATGCATTCCCACTGCGACACTACTCCTCACATTCTTACTCGCACACATATTCCCGGTTACACACGTTGCTTTAAATGTGTCCGCTTCACCAAATCAGAACTTCCCTTTCACTTAAGAGTATGCTGAAGCACATTGAGTACTTTGCTCTAGGACAGTGACGCATTTCCTTTTCAATCTGAGGATCTGTGGCTCATTCAGGCATCTGGGAATTGTTGCCTATGGAATATGTTGTTTCTATCGTGTGACACCAGCATGTACTGATCAATGAAATACGCAGGCTGACATTAAGTGGCATGGGTCAGTTTATTTCTTTAGATCGACAAATAAAAAGCATTTTTATGATGTAAGCCGTACGGGTGGTAACCGTTGCCTTGGGATCTGGATGCTGCCGGTCCCCAAAGCTCTCCACACTGGTTTTCCACCCTACTCATCTTGTGCTTGTCTCCAAACTTTCCAGCATTGCTTCCAACCAACAACAATGTCACGTTTACAGCCGTCTCCCCTTTTGGCACGAGTCAGTGAATACCACAAAGAAGCTATGTCCTTAAATGCACCTTATCCTCATAGGATAGCAAACGATCTGAAACTGTGATGTGTAGCCATTGTTTTAGCAACTTGGTCCCCGTTGTTTGTTCCAGGCATTTATGTTTTACATCAGGTTTTGCTGGCGGGGCTCCTGTAGTCGCATCGTTATAGAATATAAGCATTTATCGTTTTTTTAATTAAATTTTCTTCATGTGCTTCATTTACTAGACATCCACTTGGTTTGAGACCATACAGACACTGGCTGGTCACGACGCATGCGAGATTCAGCATCGTGCGGCGCACCTGCTCCGCAACATGGTCGTACATGGTCAGCGGTCATTTTGTGAGTTTCTCTACAAATCCACCATGCTTGAGGTAATCATGTCCCTAAGCCAACTGCCTGAAATCTCTGCGGATGAATCAATCCCACAAGAAACAATCTCCATGAACCCTGGTATTTCACAAGTCAGGCTTCGAGAGATGATGATGGAAGATCGCCGCTCCACTGTCCGATGTGCATCGGAGGCTCTGCGCCAATTGCATCAATATGGGCTAGTGGAGCGCGTTCCTGCCTCCCATGGAAGTAGTAAGTTTCTATTGATAGTAACTAAGTGCTTTCGTGTCTTTTACCTGCTTTTTAACCAGTGTTCATGCCTATGATTTTTTGGGTTATGTCTACGCGTTGTAATCGTTGGATACCTGTGAATTTGACTCTAACCGAACTTTTAACCCTACGCATTAGCCCAGGTGCTTGTCATTGTCTTCACCGTCCAATTTTTGTTTGTCGCTTCTCGGACAACATCCCCACTTTGACCCCCTTTCCTCGCTGTTTTGTCGTGCCGAATTTTATCCCCCACCTCCCTTCCATGCGACATGTAAATGCAGTGATCTTGTTTGACTGCGTCGGAACTTGCTAGTAGGTTCCCAACGAAACTGATCTCTACGCGATGTCAAAGATGCTTAGATTGTTAACCTATATGACGCCCACTGTTTTGCTGTTCCTCATGTAGAGTTCAATGTGGCGACGCCCGAAGTGAGAAGGGAAGGTCTTTGTCATTCGGTCGAACTTTGGTTTCAGTTGGTCGATTTGATTGCATGTTTTCACATGCGCTTGCAGTATTATACGCCTTATACTTCTAACCGTTTTAAAACAGATATTGTAGTCAGCAGGCCAACACCTTATGAATAGAGCGTTCTCGAAGTTGGCATCCAGAAATGTCCCGAGTTATCCCTCTAATTTTACTTCGACTATGTTTCCTGGTAATCACTTCCGAACATTCGCTAGTAACTGTTTAAGATAAGATATGGAAGACTACTCACTTCAACTTTAATGCTACAAGCCTTCACTGGCATTCGCGTTTTCTGCACAGTGTGCACAGGTGCATCAAGGGCTTCAGTATGAGAGAGTCCGTGATGTGTCGGGTAGGATGTGCCCTGTTTTCTTACATATACCACATAAACTGTGAGTAGTCCTGGTATAGACTTGTCGGACCTATTCAATTCATCCAGCAGAATCCGAAATTTGGCGAGTGAACCATAATTTAGCGTTGGAGGAGAACAGACTAATATCAATCCCTTCGGATCGAGTGCAAACGCTACCTTTGAATGCATTAAACATCATGCACGGTCCTTTACGGCATAACCTGTTCGTGTTGTTCACGTGCTTTAAATCACGGTGTAAGCTGTCTACACCTGATTCCTTGACGAAAGATTGGGGCTGGAGCGATTCTGATTTGGCCACCATTGACTCATTAATACCGCATCGGTGTGTTGCATTTCAATAGCTACTCGAACCCTTAGGTCTGCTCTACGAAACAAGAAGTCCTCTACAGTTTATTGTCATACACACTCGATAGGGTACCAGGATTCGTTGTCGAGGCATATAAAATACTGACTGTTTACTTCGTATTTCGCGCAGTCAAGGTTTCACGCACACACCGTTGTCCGTTGAGCCACTGGATTTGTGCATAGTTAGTGAACGAGCTGTGTTTCTGTCGGAAGCATTGTAGTCTTAGACGTAATTAATGCACTCTAATATCAGTTTGTTTTCAACGTATGTTTTCTTGTGGCTCGAGCTATTATGTCTAATTGTCGTACGTCATTTATCGGCACTCTAACACCAACGCTTGGTTTGACCGATAGTCAGCTGTGTCACTCAGTTTTGCGTATTTTTTTCTTGTCCCCCTAACTAGCCTGAGGGTTTTTCACTCCTTGATTGTGCATTGAATGCTAATTAACACCCGATTGCTTCGACACCAGTGTACCTGTGTGTCCCTGTTCTATACCTCACCAGATTAAATTCTTGTCGGTTCACTGGTCTATTTCGGTACATCCATTTGCCCTGATATATATATATATATATATATATATATATATATATATATATATATATATATATATATATATATATATATTTTTTGAAAGTGTGAGATACTGTTCTCAAATTAGGATCAGATCAGAATGTACAGAAATGTTCACGCTCTTGCATGAGTGCATCTTAGCGCCAATTCTCAGCCTTTTAGATATTTTTTGGACCATCCTGGAATGAGTTGTCGGATGAAGACATTGATTATAACACTTTTAGATCTAAAAATCTGTCGAGTTTGGTGTGGAATGAAGTTGGGTTTTCACATATCCTGATTGCGGTTGGTAGGCTGTTATAAGACACGGCGTATCTGATGAGGAAAAAGTTGGACCGTATTGATGTTCTGACCCTTGGTATCCGTAGTGTAACTTTTTTCTTACGGAGTCTGTGATGGTTATTGTGTTTTGTCTCTATGTTTTGTAGGTAAGAGTAGGTTTTCTGATGCAACAAGTTGTGTAGGCACATCAAGTTTTGTTTTAGACGTGGCAACCAGAGAGGCTCGTTGTGAAGCTGTTTGCAACGTTCGCGATAGTTTAGAGTAGATGTGCTATTGAACAAACGTTTGTTGGATGACCTCTGTAAATTTTCCATAGCTTTCTTATCTATCCTATATGTTGGTATCTTCGAAATTATTTCAGCTAAAGGTACTAGGCCCGTAGCCTAAAGGTAACTAGCTTGCGTTGTAATCTGGCGGCGCAGATGCGAGGCTGCGTAGGGGCATGGTGACGCTCGCAGTATCCTTACCTCATGTTCGACCGGTGTTGATTGCGCGGCAGCGAATCGTCGGTACTGCTTACCGGCGTACTGCTGATGCCTTTAAAGTTACTAAGCAGTATCCTACAAGTTCTTCGAAATCTCTTTATAAACTGTTTTCCTCTTTTTTCAGGCTAGAATGATCTCGGTTTCCTCGCTGCCATGGAGATCCGCCACTATATTGCTCTTACCAATTAATTACCCATCTCAAGTGCCTTGCGATACTATCTCACCCAAGTGCATTTATCCGGCGTTCTTGTTTACTCAGTACTTTACGCTTTTTTCCTTTTACGTTCCTGCCTTTTATATGCCGCTATCTTGTTGCTTTCTCACGTACCACTCTAACAAATAGAGCCACTGAAACGATGCAGCAAGGTGATGTTGTTAATTCCAATGGTGTCAAATAGATGACTATGCATATATATATATATATATATATATATATATATATATATATATATATATATATATATTCACAATTTGTTAACAGACATTGTGCCATCAGAACCATGGCAGAAGAAACAACTGCAGAATACGGGCGCACGATCTGCGATCAATTAAAGAGAGCCGGTTTTTTTGGTTTTGCACACGTCATTTTGTATTTCTTTGTTTTGTGAGTTTTTGTGTGTATTAAATGGGTATATAATGGTAAAACAACATTGACGCCACTGACGTCTGTTGCGGGCCATGACGTCCAATGTTTCCAACCACTGCGATTCAGCATCTCGTGGTCCCCAACCTGGAAGACGGACTGGTCCGAACCCCGCCAAACTTGAGGTTGTCTTCTTCATGCTTCTTCTCCACGTCATTGGCTGTCCACCGCGGCACTTTTTTCAGTCGTTCCCTGGGAGTGCAAATAGCGTTCAACGTGGAAGGCGAGGGGCTGGCATGCGCAGAACGTGCCCGAGCCAACGCATGCGATGTCGGAGAAGAACCTCCTGAAGACTGGCACTATTCACCCCAAGCACGCGGTCTCGCACCTCTGCGTTGCTTACGTGGTGTTGCCACCACACCCGAGCAATCCTTCGTAGACAGCGATTGTCGAAGACTGACAGCCGCTTCATGTCTTCTGAGCGAATAGGTCAAGTCTCACAGCCGTACAGGAGTACTGCACGGACGGAAGCATTGTACACCCTGCCCTTGAGCTTGAGACTGACATCACGACGACGCCATAGGTGTCTCAGTTTGATGAATGCAAGGCGGGTCTTTGCAATCCGTTGTGAGACTTCATCTCCAAAACCGCCACCAGCCGTGATGCAACTCCCTAGATAATTAAAGCAAGGGACTTGCTCCAGAACATGTCCAGCAATGGTGAGCGCGAGTCCAGGCACCTGCCAGTCCTGGAGCAGCGTTTTACATTTTCCCGGAGTGAAGCATAAGCCGTACTTAGACGCATCCATCGCCAAGCGGTCCAATGCGCTCTGGATGGTTTGTGGGTCGTCCCCCAGCAAGGCGATATCATCGGCGTAGTCCAAGTCCGTGACTCTGGCTCCATGTAGGAGCTCAATGCCGCAGTCCTGGATACCTTCCAGTGCTTTTTCGACAACATCTTCGATGGCGAAATTGAAGAGGAAAGGTGAAATAGGGCAACCTTGGCGAACACCACTGGTCACAGCAAATGTAGAAGAGTGCGTGCCCTACACTCTGATTTTGCCCGACGTGTGACTGTAAAGTTCTTTCAGGATGGTTACAAACTTGTCGGGCACATCTTCCTTTAGTAGACACTTCCAAAATGCAGATCTATCTACTGAATCAAATGCCGCTCGGATGTCCAAAAACACTACGGTTGTTGGCCGCCGGTGGATGTGACGAATTTCGAGAAGCTGGCGAAGCGTGAAGATTTGGTCGATGCAACCGCGCCCTGGACAATATTCGGCTTGTTCTTCTTGGGATCCCGGTACCGAAGGACGCTGGGTCTAGTTTTCCCGATTCGTGTCGTCAGCATTTGGTTCACTAACCTCCACATTCATCCCGGGCCAGTGAGTTATGATATTATTGAATCGCAGACTGCGAGTTCAAGTTACAGGTAGGGCTAGGAGATAAGCTCTTCTTTGATGTGGAATGAGCGTGCACGCACTAAGGCATGGTCGGAATCCAGGCATGGGCTCCAAACTGACTGGCATTCTTGTACTGATGTGCGCCACTTGTAGCTGATGGCAATATGGTCAATTTGGGTCCAGGAATTCGGTGGGCGCCAGGTGACGTGATGTGAACGTTTGTGCTTAAAAGCAGTGCTACTAATGTACGGATTGTGGTCGACACAGTTGCAGGAATCAATCACCATTGTCTCTTCGGCGTGCATCAACTCCGAAGCGCCCTCCAAAGTGTCTGAAAGACGACCCACTTGTGCATTCAAGTCGTCAGCAACAATTACGATGTCAGTATTCCTCGCTATGCGGAAGGGAGATAAACGATTATGGTAGAAATCATCTTTGGCACCTCCGAATTGCAGTCAGTAGGAGCCTAAACGGAAGCGATGAAAAGAATCCTTGTCTTCATGCGTTATCTATTAACCCTATTAGAGGTTCGAAGTTGAACTGCACACATGCGGCTGTTAAGGGTATTTAGTCGGGCAGATTACCTTCAACATGTCTGCTGAAGGCGATACTAATACCGTAAGTATCTTGAGCCATAGACTCCGTAACGCCGGAGACGTGAAGAGTGTAGTCATCGTCGTCAGCTTCAGTACTAGGTAGTCGAAGATTCGTCACAACGCTGTTATCTTGTATGCGTGTTCCAGGGACGCAGAACACCTAAATACCAAGAGAGTGAGGATTAGGATTCAGTGCTGCCTGTTGACCGATTTGACCCAAAGTGCGGCTGTTAAAAGAACCAATGTGAAATGACATTCGTGATTTGATGAACGAGTTACGAGTACCGATGGCAGCAAGAGCGAGATCAGCGGCAGATTCTCGCCTAACTGACGGGGAAGAAGAGAGTTGAGAGGGGAGGGGAAGAAGAGTGAGTATTGTTGACAACCGAGAAGCATCACTCATCTTATCGATAAGTCCATGTTTAAGCGAGCGAGCTCTCTGCTCACCCTCCGATCCCATTCATGTGCCATTGGCGGTAGTGATAACGCAAACTCGAATGCAGATCAAGCCATTGTTCCTATTGCTCTGAGCCCCTAGCGGAAGGTGTTTTGATCTATTGCATCCCATTTAACAGCCGGAAGTGCGCCGTCAGATTGGCTGGCTCGTTCATAAGTCCTGGTGGGTGGCAATAGGCACCTATTTGTTATCTACGCTACGTTTCCACAAACTTTATCGCTGAATATGAAATAAGACTTTTCTTGTCAACTGCACAATCTCCTTCATCACAGAAGCGCGGGTACTGTAGTGGTGTCCTTTGATCCGAACACTCAACTTGAGAAATTGTCGGGGCGGCCAACACGTTGTAGGTTCCCGTAATGATAGTGGTGAGCGATTGCTGTATGTATGTAATCTCAGCAGTCTGGCACCTGGACACAGAGCCAACAGAAAACCATGGAGGTCAGCGGATAAGGCGCAGTCATCGCGTCATAATCATCGTGGCATAGTAGTTGAAGATGAGCAACACACTTCAGCTAATATGCCGCAGGAAGTAAGGAACATTTTGACGAAACGTAGAACAAAACATTTTTAGCTTGTTTTTCACACGCCGGTTTTTCTCTTTTTTGCGATTTTCAATGTTTCATGTATTAAATGTGTTATTCAATACAATACTGTACACAATTCGTCCACTGTTTCCGGTTGCCGGCCATGTCTTCATGAGTGTTAAGCCATTGGCACTCCTTCTGTAGGACGTACGGGTCCAACAGCGGCTAGACACGACGTAAGTGATTTCATGTGCTGCGGCCATGTAGAAGACTGACCACCACGCGGTCGCCTCCAGCCATGTCATTGACGAGCGAATAGAGCGCGACGCGGTAGACGCTCAGGGGCCATGCTTAGGACGTGATTGAGCCATCTCAATTGGCGCAACAATACCAGTTTGTTGAAGGGAATACTCGCATTCCCCAAGATGCGACGTCAAACGTCATTACTGTTAACTCGACGTTGCCATCAAACACGAGCAATCCTCCTTATCAACCGTTATCAAAGGTAGAAAGACGACGCATGTCTTCCACGCGAATCGGCCAGGACTCGCTCCCATACAACAATACTGGGCGAACTGATGCGCTGTAAACGCGGCCGTTTAACGAGTATGAGACGTCACGACGACGCCACAAGTACCTCAGATTGAAAATTGCTGATCGGGCTTTAGCGATGCGAAAATATTTTTGTTAATAGTGCCGTCAGCAGAAACGCAGCTTTCAACGCGGACGAAATTATCTACCTGTTCAAGTTTTGCACCTTCGAAAGTGAGCACGGGAGCAGGTAAAAGCCCATCCTTGAGCAGTATTTTACACTTCGATTGGGCGAAGCTCATGCCACACTTAGATGCTTCAACCGCCAAACGATCCTGAATGAGTTGCATGCTCGGGGGATCGTCATCAAGTAAGGCGATATCAGCAAAGTTAAGTCGGTTTCACGTTTACTCGGTAGAAGCTCTAGGCCAAAATGTTGGAAAGCTTTTAGAGAATTCGACAGCACGTCTTCGATTGCAAAGTTGAAGAGGAATGGAGACATAGGGCAGCCCTGTCGCACACTGCGAGTGACAGCGAATTGCGAGGGAAGCTTGCCATAGACCCTCACTCTGCCGGATGTATGAAGGTAAAATGCTCGTAAGATGGCGGTATATTTCTCTGGCACCCCCCTCTTTACCAAGCAACGCCATAAAGCAGGCCGATCAACGGAGTCAAAAGCGGCACGTATGTCTAGGAATGCAACGATAGTGGGCCTGTGATAAATGTGGCGATGTTCGAGGAGCTGGCGGAGCGTGAAGATTTGATCCACTTCTCCGCGGCCGCTACGGAAACCAGCTTGTTCTTCACGGTAGTATGATTCACATACTGGGGATAGTCTGCGAAGCAGAATGGATGCCAATAGCTTAGAGGCAACCGATAAAAGATTGTTTCCGCGATGATTTACACGTGAAGTGCGAGAGGCTTTCTTGAAACTCAGGACAATAATTGATTCGCCCAAAGAGGAAGGCACTTTCTATTCATCCCAGATTTTTGCGAACAGCACGGTCAGCTGGTTAATGATTACCACACCGCCGTACTTGAACAACTCCGGAGGAAGGCCCTCTGAGCCGGCATCCTTGAACCGCTTCAAGCGTCGAATTTCGAGGCAGATTTCCTCTTCGCTGCGTGGGACGAGCCAGGGTGGACAACAAGGTGTACTGCATGTCATGATGAATGGTGGAGGCCAGTTGAACTGCGAGTGAAAGTGCTCGGCCGAGCGGTCCATACGCCTCTGTTGGTTGGTGATCGGAGACTCATCCACCTCGC